GATATTGATATCTATTAAGATACTCCAAAATCCGAAAACTGATATTTTTTTCAAAATTTTTACTGATCTGACCAGTGGATCCCCTTAAGAGGCTGGACCACAGAATTTATAGTTCATCACCACCTGGGTGCTAAGTCATTGAATGGCTTTGAAAAATCCCAATCCATACCAAATAAAGAGTCAGATATACCCACGGCAGTGTCATCTTCACCGAGCAATAGTAATAATAGACTAGTTCATATTACATGATACCAGCTGGCCTTGTGGCATACCCAATCAAAGAACAACAATTGCAATAAAGTATGAAGTCAGAGAAAGAAAAACTAAGGATTGAAATAAAGGAAAAGTTTAATAATGTAAAAACCAACTAACAGTACAGTTCTTGTGAAGTCCATAAGTATAAGAATTTCACGTCACTTTTATAAACTTTTTTGCACACAACACCAATTCACATATTACACACATTGTAAAAAATAATTCAAAGTAAACTATAAAAATACAGCTAAGATTTAAAAAATGTCACTCTCAGTGTTCTCATTGAAGCCCTGTGGACGACAAGACCGAGTTCATGGTACCATCCGAAACACATGAGCTTGCAGAGGGCAACTTCGCAAAATTTACATTTGTAGGTCGTATCTACTGGACGGCCTTTTGGAGTTTTCCTAGATTCTAAACTACACAAAATGCACTGTTTAGACTGCCCAGCAATGCGAGTGAAGAGATGCCGCTGGAAACTCTCCGGGGCCACAGTCTCCTGGCTAGTTGAAGGCTGTCCGGGGAGTCAAGCTAAAGCCATTGACCAGAGCCTCCGCAACATGCACACAGAAGCTCAAGTGGTCATATCTTTTGCTGCGACGTAGTCACGAGGAGTCTGGCTCCAACACACATAGAGGCGTTATAGATAGAGGCATTGATAAGCTGCCAAACGATGTACCTCCACCATTTTTTACCAGGTCTCCCAACGGGATAGTAGGACAGTTATTGATCGAACTTGTCGACCCCACCCATGTACTTGTTGTAGTCGATAAGTGAGTGGGGCCGACCATCTGCTGCAACCCCAGCAATCTGACTGGACGATGGAATACAAATTGTTCTCTTGTTGTGATATAACGTGGCAACAAGATTGCCCTTTTGTAGTTGCTTCATATCTGATCTCCCCTAGTTTTCAGTTTTGTTTTCATCGTTGGAGGGAGCCCTTTCCTGTTTGCCATTATAATGGTGCCACATACGTATTATTTGCACACAGCGATGTCCACAGAATTTTAAAAAATCTATCGATGTACACATCATGGCTTTTGTCGTAATACGATGCACACAGGCCATCCTCCACTTCAAAGCCGAGAGGTTTCCGGGGATTCCTTCAGCCGCTTTTCCCCGTATAAACATCATAGCCAAGACAGTATCCAGTTTTAGAATCACACACAGTCCAAATTTTCACCCTCCATTTAGTAGGCTTGGCAGGCATGTACTGCTTGAAGGACAACCTACCCTTGAACCCTACCATGCACTCATCCACCCTCAACTCCTGGCCAGCCTGAAAACAGGCTGTGAATCATGAATGTCTCCTTTGTAGTTTTAATGACATTTCTCACTTTGAAGAGGGGATCGAAACTCTCCTCTCCACGCTGTGGCTGGTGCTGGTTGTCCCTGCAGTGGAAATACCTGCTGAGATCCTTGAAGCGCTTGATGGGCATGATGGAAGAAACCCAAGGATCGTTGAAGCGACGACCTGGCTCCAGTAACACCAGAGCTGAGGCTGCTGCCGAACGCCAAACATGATCTGGATGCCCAGGAAGGCTCTCATCTCCGCTGTAGTAGTTGCTGTCCAACTGCTGGCGTTCTCCGGTCCCAAACACTGCTAGGCGTACCGGTTCGTTTCTTCCACCAGGATGTTGATCAATGTCAGTGGAAACAGGAGGAGGAAGGAGTCCAGGGGGCAGGCGTTTCGGGCAAAGTCGTGCCGAGGCCCAGACTGAGGTTGAAAGTCTAGCATCGTAATGTCCGACATCTCTTCCCTCCATGCCGCACCTTGGTTGTTTCCTTCAATGGCAGCGGCAGCAGCACCACCATCACCAGCCTCAGGCTGCAGAAAAATAAGAGAGTAAACAGAAGATAAGACACATGTAAAATAATTTTGTAATTGTCAGAGTGAAAGTATAGCAGTTGGCACAAAGAAAACAGCAAGTGAAAGAATGTTCAAAGAAGGTTGACCATGACCACGATTGACTAAATCTAGTTCAAAGTGTGTAGTACTAGATCCAGGTGTATGTTCTCATACAAAACAAAAGATACACCATGTACAATAGAATTGTAATAATTTAGTCAGTCTGAAAGTAGAGCTGTCGCACAAATAAAAGCAAGTGAAAAAACAAAAAATGTTCCCCACGGACAAGACTATTTCAAAGTGTGGTACTAGATCTAGATAAAGATGCAAGTACAAGTACATTGTATAATGTTCGCAAAGAAAAAAACTAAAGGTATAGATCTATAAATATAACCAATGTACAATGGAATTGTAATTGTTATTCTGAAGGTAGAGCACTTGGCACAGTAGGCTTAGTGAAAGAACAAAGAGCAAGAAAGTTGACTATATGGAAGGCGGCTAGATTTAAGTCTTGAAAAAGTACTAGAATCTAGACCCAGGTAGATATAATCTGTGAACTATTATATTAGAGAACTAGATCTAGATCTAGATCTAAATGAAATTCAAGTGAAGCAATTCTAGGACTAGGAATAGATGAAGCATCATGCTCCATAGCGAGCTGTTACTGTTAGCTGTCCTCTGTGTGTGCCTATCTCCAGTCCACCTCTCCCAGCTCACAACAACAAAAAATTCACTTTTCACGTACCTCCTCATCAAATACTCCGTCCAGGCTAAATTTGGTATGTCCTGCTATAAGAAAACTAAGGCGGATTTTTTTGTTGCGGTTTGTTGCACACCTCCACATCAGATACCAAACCATTGCAGAATTTTTATTCTGGGCACAGCAGTTATCTGCATGTAGCTGAAGCTCCGTCTCTCCAAGACTATAGTTTTCTAGATGGAAATGGAGGTACGAAACAACAGTGTTTACTCCTTTCCTGGCGTTGTGGCCTTCGTCGATGAGAATATTCACCTGGCGACCAAGAGCCTCATTGTTTAATCTAAACAGACCACACTCCCGAGGAGTGGCGTCGGTGGCCTAGTGGTTAGGCAGGCGGACTCGTAATTGTGAGATTGCGGGTCAGGGGTTCGAGTGTCAGCTCGACCCGACGTTGCGTCCTTGTGAAAGGCACTTTGCATGAATTTCCCACTTGGCTCGGCCCTTTCGGAGACGGACGTTAAACTCGGAGGCCCCGCCTCTTAAATAACCTGATTGTGTTGATAGGGGCGTTAAACCTATACCATTTCATTTTCACTCCCAAGGAGTCTTGAAGTAAATCGGGCCATCTTGTAGGGGATTGCTCGGGAAGTGTGTCTGTTGAGCAAAGTCAAATGAGACGTGGCTCTGTCCCTTGAACGACAGATAGGGGGGAGGGTCCGGCTATGTGTCGGCAGGGAGGTGTTTCTTGACCTCCCCACAACAATGCTGATAATGGTAGAGAGAATGCCTGCTTATTCTGGACAACCTCCTGGTGGGCATACAACTCTCTGTAGAGGCGTTGTTTCTCCACGTTGTTTGCATTGTGCTGAATGGCCTGCATGCTTTTCAGGCAGGTCCTGCACAGATCGGTGGCTGGAGGCATTATCCTCACAAATGGCACGTGCTGCTTCCAGAGCTTTCTGAATGTTGACACATGCACACAGTGTTGACCGGGGTAGTTGTTGATGTGTGCATGTGGAGGATGCATATATAGTTCCTTCAAGTGTTTCTCGAGTCTGCCTTTATTTTCCAAGGTAGCCTTGAATGGTAGCTCCGTGGGAGGTTTGGGTGGGGGGAGGTGTTGTGGGCATCCACAATGGCTAGTGCTTGTGGAAGCTTGAGTGCCTTTTTGTCCAATATATAGGTGATTCAGTGGCGAGGTGTTCTGCCAGGAAGCTCGGTGCCATGGATTATTGAATAGTTCACACTAAACTCCACGACCCTCCGAATGTCATCGTACTTTAGGGATGTGTGGCAAACGCTTAGTGCTTTTGTGCACCCGGGCTTCCACACCACTGACTTTGTAGTGTTTAATCAAACTTGTGAGTTTTCCCCGGCCAATGCCATAAGCGTAGCAAAAAAGCTCTCTACAAATACAAGGACCATGAAGATAGTAGTCAGTTCGAGAAGCCTTTGTTTCTGATTGATCAGGTTTCTTAGACTTCTGGGTGGTTGGGTCTAAGTGTATACCATCTTCTATATTAGACAAAAG